TTTTTTTTTTTTTTTTTTTTTTTTTTTTTTTTTTGCTGGAGAGGTGGACTTACTATGATGTGTAGGTCCTTAGTTACCTAAGTGATGAATACACTAAACAGTTTCCGAGTTACTCTTCTACTTTTCTCAGTTTCTAGCAGTACCGGTATTGCAGTCGCCAGTTACCGGTATTAAGTGGTAAAATTTCCTAGTATTTGATTTTCTTCTGCATATCTGTTAAGTGACGTTCTTCTTTTTTCTTCCAGGCTTACAACGCTGAGATATACAATCGACATACCGTTCTCAGCGTTGCGAGGAACAAGGCTGTCGCCGTTTTACACTGAACCTTTAATGTTGGAGATTGATCGTATAGGGAAGTCTGGAGCTTGTGAAATTATCCTACATCTGTTTAGCTTAAACTCCTTATTTGTTCTGAAGGCATTAATGCTTAGCCGACCAGATCTTTCTCAAAAAATGAAAGGAGTTGTATTTGACAGGTAAATTTACTTCTTACAGAAAAATGGATGCTTTTTTTTTTTGTTGTGAATTTCCTTCTGTTTTACTCTATCAATATTACAGCTGACAGCTGAAAATTTTTAGCTGTCCTGCTACTCCCAAAATGTCTTCTTTTTTCTTCGTTTTGACTATGCTGCTATCTCAACGGTTTCCACTGTTGCCATGGTACATACTGGGAGCGATGAAATACTGTTTTTTGGGTGCTGCAGTTTGTCTGGAGTTGAAGGTACTTGGTTTTGGCGTTGTGGCTTTACTGCTTCGTTATGTCTTCCCGATACTTTCTTTTCAGGAGAAGTTACTGAACGCCGTATTACAAAAGCGAAAAGATATGGATATTTATGACTGGATGAGAAATCGAACAGATCTGCCAAAACATCAACTTTATATTTATTCAAAGGCTGACCATTTGTGTTCTTACAGGTATGGGATTTTTAAACTTTGTTTATTAACTATAACTATAAGTTATTCATTAACTATAACATCGTACAAGACCAGTTTAAAACGAGATCCACTTGCTTTTAGGCTGGAGCATTTAGTTGAAGCGATATTTGTATTATTTTTTTGACCAATTATTTGTGTGGATTGAATTAAGGCCTTGATTTGTAACTTTAAAATTTAATTGTATAATCAATTGCAACATTTCCGATAATAATTTCTTCCACTCCAACTATACTTTTTTTGAAAACTCAATCTTTCAGTTCGGAAAGAGTTTTATTTATGACGATTTTTGTAGAAAGCTGAAGAGAGCAAGTACTTGTAGTTGTTTGAGCAGCAATGATTTGTATCTTTTAGTAATAAAAAACTAACATAAATGTTTGGAATAGCGAAATGCTTTCCGCTGCTTAATTAATTTTATCGCCCACTATTGAAATTTCAGAACAATTAAGGAGTTTTGTGAAGATCAAGTTAAGCGGCGTCAAGTGACAGCGACTCAACTCACATTTGAAGATTCTGCTCATGTCAGACATTTGCTCGAACACCCTGTTGCTTATGAAAGTGCCATTAACAAATTTTTAGACAAACTAGTATTTGGGAAACTTCAAAAGTTCATCTCTTCATAAGTTAGTGAATCCTTCCAAATTAAAAGCAAATATGGAACGAATGAGTGCTGTGCGATATATAGATGTTAGTAGTACAGTTTTTGTAAAACAGGTTACCAATTTATTAGTATCTTGTAAATGTGTTAACTGTAAATTTTTTAGCATCTTTTAAAATTCAGTGCAATCAATAATCTAGCTGCTTGGTTCTTCAAAACTTCTCCCAGTCACATTTTGAATTTTTTCCATTTATAAAGATTCATTTATAGAAACAACGGCTAAAGATTTGAATTAAATTTCTTGATAGTTTTGAAGAAGCATGCGGTGTTTTGTCATATTTACTGAGCACCTTATGTTATTAATACTGTATGTTAGACACAGTAGTTATGACTAGTAAATAGAGCAAGCTTTGCTAGAAAAGTTTAGTGGGGAGGTATTCAGTTTATCATACATTACTTCAAGTAAAACTTTGTGTTCAATAGGGCTATTAGGTTGTTGACATCGAAATTGAATTTTTCAGCGTACTTGATTTTTTCTTCTTCGCGATATTTTGCCTCTAATAGTTCCTAGAAAAATAAGAATTTTTAATATTGATATTTTACCCAAAAGAGTTTTTGGAGCACTTGGATGCGAAGATTACTACTTATACGTACGCAAAGTTTAGTCCTTACTTTTTGCTCGTGTAGTAAATCAGTTTTCAGACAGTGCTTCAAAGTGCTGACATCGATTATTCGTCTTAATTGTTTATAGCTTTGTTGTATTATTGAAGTCGCAAAAGATTTTTATGCTCTTTCATCAAAGAAATTGCAGGAGTTTTTCAAAGTGTTAGTCAGTTTCAATTATTCAATATTTGACTATAATCTGCTTTTTTTCGCAAAAGAAATTATTGGTTGTTTTTAAAAGAGGAATTTGTTGCGGAAACTGCTGTACAAGATGGTGAACGGTTTTGGCATGTTTTACGGAAGGGATTTAAGGGCTTTTTTTATTTTAAAATATGAAGCCGGGAGTTTGTCTCTTAAGAATAAAAAAGCAGAGTTTTGTGGAAAATGTGCCAAAAGCGTTCGGTTCTATCTTTGACAAATCTAACTTGAAATGATGATTTAGAGTGCTTGTTTCTGGTTCTTTATTGGTCTGTTCATTCAAGTTATAATTAAAGTAAAAACACAACTTACTTCGCTGTACAAAGAAACAAGAATGAATTTATAAGGGTGTCTTCAAGGTACTACTTGCTTTCAGCATGAGGTAACAAAAGCAAACGTACCTGGAAGTTTATTTCACATGCAGTGTTGGGTCGTTTTTGATCATGAACTGTTAACGATAAGATTCCTGGACGATTTGTTGTGGCTATCTCAAAGATTGCCTTGTTGTACCTAAAATTTCATGGTTTTTTTCAAGAAAACAATGAAGAACTGAACATTACCTCCTAATTCTTTCTGAACTTGGTGGGTTGGTGGAATCAGTACTTTCCGGAAACAGTATATGTGATTTTTGAGAAGAAATTAATGGAACTGACTCTTTTAAACTGTCGGTGCCGTCAATTGAGAGTAGGATGCCCTTTTTATCCAGCTTTTCTGTAGCAAACTTGCATTTTTGCACTGCATCCAAAGATTTTCTTTGCGCAATTATTTTACTAGCTCTCACGGAATCTGGTTTGATCGAAGGTCTTCTGAAAATAAAGTCTTGTTTCCTTTAAACTGGAGGCAATACTGTGACTTATTTTTATGCAGTGATGAATTGGCGTTTTTTGTTGTGTAATTATTGTCAAGGTATGGTGGCGACAAGTTATTTGAACACATGAGGATACTGAAAACAAGCAATTTTTTGCATTCCGCCAACAGATTAACAGTTTGCTTCCTAGCAAACTGATCTAGTGACAACTTGGGCATTTCGGTCGCAACCTGACTTATAATGATGACAACATTTGTTAGTTTTGTGCACAGAAATCGTTCATGCACGTGTAAGAGTAAACAATACTTTATTGGCATGCAGATGCAGATCAATGAAGGAGAAAAAAAAAGAGCTCAAAGCTGCTTCTAACTATAAATAAGTAGACAGTGATTAAGAAGAAAGAGTTTTAGAGGAGTGGTTGCAAACAAAAAAAGCATTTGAAAAAAGTATTCAACGGAACCGTTAATATATATTGGACAGAAGGAAGGACAAATAAACAAAAATTCTAAAGTTGTTAAAAATAAACTACAAATTTTTTTCTCTAGTTTAACGCCTACAAAATTTACCTTACTGTTAAACACAAATTCTCTAAACATTTTTTTAAGTATTCATTATAAGCCTCCATCGTTTTGTTGTATTCCTCTTTTTGTTCTTCTAGCTGAACTATAGCATCTCGAAGTCTCGCCAACTGCTCCTCTCTTTCTTTTCTATACCGCTGTTCTCTATTAATGTCCTGAAAAAATAATTATTATTTTTAAAAGGTAGTAGTATTTTTTTTCATTTTTAAAAAACTTAAAATTCTCAATTTCATTCTGCTATGAAGTTCAACTTTTTTGAAAACTCAGTAAACAATGCATAATAACACGGGACTTAAATGATGCAGCTCTAATCACTCGCATATAGGTTCGTTATCTATGAGCTGGTTATTTTTTTTATAACTTAATAAAATTTTCTAAAGAAGCTCTTTTAATTAATAGTTGTTGAAAATTTAATGGGTTAGTGCGTCGTTAATTGAAGGCTTTGCTTTGGTGAGCTTATTTTACATTGATGGAGTTTTCCAAGTCGTTATCAATGGGCACAAATATGTACACTGGAATTATTTCACTGCATCTCTCTTTGGTTACATTCATACAGGTGTCATTCTGGTTTTATAACAAATCCCTCTGATGTACACTTTGGAACTAGTCTGCATGATCAAGTCTTACCTTCCAGCAGCTAACTTAACGGGCTCAACTCTATGCATTAAACCGATTTAGACGTTTGTCGATCACTTTTCTAATTAGATCCCTCAATAATAAGCTGACGTTCCGTAACTTGATTTATAGAAAACTAAGTATCTGCAGGTAGCGGGATTTAAACCACGTTGTATTTCTGCAGCATAGCATTCACGATAAGCTTTAACACACTGTTTATCGGCTGCAGTTTTCAACCAAGTAATTTACCCAGCTTATTCTGGCCACTTCTCGAACTCTTTCTTCAGAGTCTGTACTTATTTATCATCAACTGAATAAACGTCACTTACAAAACATGTGAGCTAAACTTATTTAGTGTTTTAAACACTGCATACCACAAACCATCACATTTTCTGGTAATAAAATTTTCCAAACTAGCCTCAGATCTTCCTACAATTAATATTATCTGGTAAATCTTTGATGAGTTCATCGTGAATATCTCAGCTATCTGCCTTTGAAGAAAACCTCGGGAGGTTCTTTTTTACAATGAGATTGATAGATGTATCTGATTGACCATAGTCTTTTGCTTACCTTCGCAATTTCGTTGACCATCCTTTGATATTTATTCTCCTTGGTTACTAGTTTTGCACCTTCCAGTACTTTGAGATTGGCTGCTATCCTATCCTTTTGTTGCGTCAAATTTGATCTGAATTAGAAAACTTTTTGTAAATTATACAGTTGCCACGGTAATGCAGTTGTGAATATACTAAGTGTTAAGATTAATAAAGTATCGGTGGAATGAAGCTGTGGATATAGATGCCAGGTCTTCAAATGAATGAGCATGGGTAGAAAGAAATTTTGGAACAAACGTTGAAGCATCGGCGTGAGGTAGTCGTTTGAACTCGTCTTCCTGTTTCACCGTAACGTCACTCTCAAGCATAGCTGGAACATCTTCACCAGGGCAATGACATAATAAACATTCCACGATGCCTTTTTTGGTCCTGAAGAGCCTTCTTTGTTATTTCGGTTTTGGACAGCTTAATAAGACTTTATTGAATATGCAACGCGGGCATGAGCAACTGGTTTTATTTTTTTGTTAGTCCTATATATGTGAAGAAATAAATTACGTAGAAAGAAGATGCAAAACTCGTTGTCTAAAAAATGACCTAAGAAGTATTGGGAGAAACATTTACTTATATAATATACGGTAAAAACTGGCTTTGCTCAAATTTTCTGTTTAACATCGACAGTTGGGAACTCTTTCGCAAGAAGGAACTACTGTAACAAGTTTAATTAGATTGTTCACTTGAAGACAGCTATGAGAGTGTCATTCATTTAGACTGTTATCATGGTTTATTATGCAAAAAATAATTAAAAAAGGGCTTTTTGAGGCTGTTTTTGAAATTGTAAAATCGTCAAGTAGTTACTACTCAGTTACAGTCTTTCATAAAAAACTGGAACATTTTTGTGCTTTTTTCATCATGAAACATGTAATAGAGAAGTGGTCTGGTTGTTTTAAGAACAAAATTATTCTTTTTAAACAAAAAACATGAAAGCGAGCACACAAGCAGGGTTATTTGACGTTACAAGATTCAAGATGATGATAGATGAAAGTCGATGTTTGCGTTTCTCGCCATGTTTGAGCTTCTATTCCTTTATCACAGTGGAAATCTAGTTTGTGCCTAGTTCACGAAAATAGCATCAAAACAGTTTCATAGGACCCGTGCAAATTAGCCAAAATTAAACTAACTTTTCAAATCTTTCTTCCGCTTCTTCTTCAGCGCTCTTTAAGTTGGCTGACAACGGATGCAAGTGCAGTGTAACATACAATTCTTGATCGGCAGATGGTGGAGACAGTTGTGTTACAAGATTCTTCAACGGTGCATCACTGGCCATAAAGATCTACAAGTTTTGTGAATTATTTGAATCATTCATGGTGGTATTCTTAACGTAAATCAAACTAAGGAAGCATATTTTCAGGTCTTAAAGTGCGACTGGAGGAAAAAACTGTTTAAAATAAAACGCTTTTTATACGGTCGAGAGAACAGGGCAACCAAAATTCTGCATATTTCTCACCGTATCAATATTTTCTTTAAGATTACGATGCAGTACGTTGAGGTGTTGTAATGAAATATGTAACGTTGGTTGATGTTTACTTAAAATGTCCGAGTACTTGTCACGCTGGTATTGAGCTTCTCCCTTTATCAACTTTTTAAAAAACGTCCTGTAGAACAAGATGTATATAGTATATTATTATTTAAACAAAAGAAGAGGTCATTTAGAAGCGAAGTATCTGTTTTTGAGAGCTTGTTGAAGAAATAAACTTACAAAGCATAACCGTTGACTTGTTTGATCGTCGTATTTAACGATGTCAGATACCATTTGTCTTTACCGTACTAAAAACAAAACAATTTTTTTTGCAGATTTCTTGTAAATTGCTTTTTAAGGGCTTTTAGCACTATAAGTACTAAGAGGATGCTCAGAATTTGTTGAAAACGCAGTCACCATATCTGAAACATAGTCTGAAACAATTGCCGAATATTAGGACAAAAGGGGAGAACTTACTCCAACATTCGCTGTTCCGAATATTATGATTTTAGAAATTGCAGCCAACATCTTCTTAGTTTCTTCAGCTAAAGGACTCTTAGTGCCATCGGGTTGACCAATTATTATTTGTTCTTCATAACAACTTTTGTAAATCCATCCCGCAATTGCCTTAAAAGGTATATATGTGTTTACGTACTTTCACAGTCACTTTCTTCTTAGAATTTTCAATTTTTAAACAACAGCTTAGTAATTGTCCTGTTCACCTCTTCTGTTACTCATTCGTTATTTTGAAAGCGGTAAATCATGCGCTAGAAGAGCTGGGAGAGATTTTACAAATAACGGTAAGTTAAGCTGAACATAAAAAACCTGTATTATTTCATTGTCAGGTGCCGACATAAATTTTTCCTTCAAATCGTTTTCAACTTTTTTTATCAAATAACGCAACATTGTCCTAAAATAGAATTCTGTCTTTTAGATTATTTGTCAAAATAAGCCATGTGCAGCATACTTTCTAAACTGACAATCAATATGTGTTAGTTATAGCAGCAATTCGCTCTTTTATGTTATCACTACTCAAACTTGGGGAAAAAAGAAAAAATAAAATAAATCGAAAAAAAATTTTTTTTTTTATTTTGTGTACGATAGCAATTAATGTCATTACAAGTAACTAATGTGATGCAAACTGACGGAATCGGTAGGTCCACAGCGAAAACTACTTCGGCAAATCTGATAGCCCAGCGGGACAAATACTCCTTACTTTTTTCAAGAATTTTTTTGACCTCCTCATTTTCGGCAGCCTCCTTGACGTCTTTTGGTTTATGCTGCATCTTAGACTCGAAAATATCTTCAGCGTCTAGGTTGAAAACATCAATGGCATTTTCCTTTTTGCCCAATTCTCTTCTCAGCTCTGCTATATTTGGATTGAACACAGCTTTCTCAACCAATAAGCTAAACTAACGAAATTGTTAAATCACACAGTATTTTCGAGTTTTAATAATCTTTAATAGAAATGTCACTTTTCTTCTTCTTTACTTTTCAAATCATCAACAGGTTACTGCAAAATGCTTCAGTGTAGAGCACTAACCCTAAGCCGTTTAGAGGTGGATAAGTGGAAGAAAACAAACCGCTTTAAAAGCTTTGTCACCGTAACAGCAAAGCTTTTCCCCAACCCATTTGGTTTAGCAAGAGTCGAAATTTCTTCTCTGATAATTTGGTGCACTAGGGAAATAAAAAGAAATTCTTCTCTCTCTTCGACAGCATAGTTAAATATTGGCAGTATAGGTCGTCTGATTAAATCGGTCACAACTAAAAAGAATTTGCTGTTGTTAAATTTTGATTTTTACCGATATTTTTCATAGCTAAGCAGTCATAGTTCTTTCGCTAATTTTCCACCAAAAAACCTTAAAAAACAAACCTTCTTCTTTCTCCTTGTAATTTCTGATTAGCCTAGTCAGATATTCTGGCTGTGTTTGCAAGTGATAAATAACCACCTCAAAACCGTTCCACTGATCTTGATCTCTTTTTCGGAATGAAGTTTTCTTGGTAATGCTTTCATCAGCAGTTGCTTTCATTACTTTTTCTCGGTGCTCCATCAATTCCTATATATTTTCTTCTCTTGGATTTCTTCTTCTACTTTATTGAGTCATATAATGAAAATGCAAAGGCAAAACGAAAATGATTTAATACTTACAATAACTGCAGGAAGTTGGTTCCAACAGTTAAGCGATAGTCAGAGTATTTTAAGAAGCAGTAATAAAATTACTAAATAAGTAAAAACCGCAATCAATTACTACTACACACCTCTAAGCTTTGACGGTTTTTGACAACCAGACCAATTTTATTATCCAGTTCTCGAATCGCATCATTCAAGCGATGGTTCACGTGCATCAACTTTGTAACCCGTGATTTATTTTCACTAATTTCTAAAGTAAAAAAAAAAAAAACAGATGATAAAACTTATTTTTATTTCACGACTTAAAAGGCCAATTTGTAATCTTTTTCGGAGTAACACCAAACTGCAGACAGGAAAGCGTATAGAAGAAAACAAATTTTACCTGCTTCTTTTTCTGCATCTTCTTTGGAAGGTATAAGATGGGGAACAAATTTGCGAACAACACGAAGACTTGGATTGGGCGAATGAGCTAAAAAGATAATAATATTAACAGCTTTTGTGATTCAAATTTATGTGATGATCAACATGAAGCAAAGCAAACTGCCATAAGTGTATGAGCTATTAGCTAAATAAGAATTTGAGTTTGGTTAGAAAATGTGTTAAAAATAAAGCAAGAGTCCTCCAGTTACTCTCTTTTTAAAAAGATTTAACTCTCTGCAGCTGTTTATAAAAATTTTAACTAAGAATAAGGTGCTTAAAACAGCTTTGTAGCTTTATATTTTGCATAAAAAACAACAAGCGGCTTTAATGTGCGAGAGATTTAAAACGAAATTAGTCAACGAGAGCTGCATGCCCTGTAATACTTCGCTGGCAGAAATCAGCAAAAAAAATTTTCAGTGAAGCCAGAATAGAAAAGTGAAAAAAAGGGCAGAAGTCGAAAATAAAAACTGAAAAAACGGGTAAAAAGCGCACCAGTGAAAGAAAGAAAACTTTTGTAGAAGGCAGAAAGCAAAAGTAGAAGCTTAGAGTAAAAAAAGAAAGAAAAGGTAATCCAATCAAGAAATGAGTCTTAGAAGTGAACTCAGATAATTAACAAACTAAGTTCGTAGAAGTCTCTTCGCCAAAGTTGCCGTCTGAACCAACGTTGTATCCTGGCTGCTGCTTCTTCTTTTTTTTTAGCTGCTTCAGTTTCTTCCGACTGTTTTTTCTGTTCCTCCTCCACCAGAGAATTTTCCTTTTTAATTATTCTCTGAATATAATTAATTTTTATTGAAAGATTTTTATCGTAGTCATTCAAATCATTTGATTT